CACACACACACACACACATACGGGGTGAATGTGACCCACTGCCCCAGTGCTACCCACAGATTAGATTTCACTGAGACGGATTTGCTGTATTATTGGGTGTATTATTTTTTAGAGGGTTTTTAGAGGGTACCTATTTAATATTTATTTTATTTATGAATCACATTTCTCTTTGACAGTGTCTTCAAATAAAGGTTTGGTCAGATCTGCGTAATGTCTGGAGGCAATTTTCTGCCTAAAGTATAGCTAAGTTAACCAACCCACACACATATATGAATGCACTTATAAACACTTCAGTCAGTTGAGGTTGTGTAGAGGACTTCTGTTTGGTATAAGAGCCCACCAGCACAAACCAAGCACACACACACACACACAGAGTGTCCTAACGGCAGGAATCGGGCAGTTTAAGCACAGCAGCTCTGACACCAATCAGAGAAGTGTTCAAATGTTGCCACATACATTCACAGGAAGCTTTCGAGAGCTGATCTGACTTTAGAAGCCATAAAGACACATAATCATCAAGATTCTGCACATAAAACACATGACCAACATATCTAAAGAAACCAAGTGCACACAAAAGTACAATAAAACATACTAACATAATAAGAGTAAAAACAAAGACTTATCATCTGTTTATATGCTGCATGCAGGTGTGATCTCTTACCCGTAGGCATTGCGGCTCGATCCAGATTTGATCACATATCCACTTAGTATTCCAGACCAGTGCCACACACACACACAACACACTCTTCTAATCCTTCAATTCACTTTACATTCTCCCTGAGACACACAGGATAGCTCCGTCTGTGTGAATGATACTGCACACACACGCACACATTCAGTAAATCCTCGGTTCACACACACATAAACTCTGAGCCGCACCACAACGGTCCTGACAGTCTGCCTGTCACTCACACATTGAGCACTTCTAGACTCTCTTCCCAAATCTCCCTCCCTGTGGCTCCTCCCTCTCCCACTGCAACAAATTAGCAGCTCAGACTTCCACAGAATGCCTCTCTCTCTCTCATGCCTCGCTTTCTCTTTTGAATTCCTGTGAATTTTTCTTACAGTGTTTATTAATTTACTCCATTCTTTTTCATCACGTGATTAATTTGAAGTATTCTATTTTGGCACAACAACACTTCGACACCAAGGCTTTGACGCTGTTTGATTCTGGCTGTCTGAGACAAATTTGGGGAATTATGAAAGGTTCCTTTCACCGGGCCAAGTCTTTGTTTTCTGTGACATGTTCACTGCTCACTGACAGATGATTAATTGCAAAGAATGTTTGCCTCTGATGAACTTCTGGCAGTCTCTGCTTCAGGAAGAATTCTAATTGAAATGGAACTTCATAAGTGAGCGATGTTGAACACTCTACATAGGCAGCAACTCTTTGCGTTATACAAATGGTACTCTTCATGTGTGACACACACAAGAGACATTATACACAATTCATTTGCACAATGTTTGGAATTAACATCACTCTAATAAAGACAACAATTGGTAAACATTCAATCTTACAAAAAATGCTGGGTTATATATAAATACAACCCAGTGCTGGGTAAAATAAGGACAAACCCAGCAATTGGGCTGTTTTGACCCAGCGGTTGGGCTGTTTTGACTTTGACCCAGCGGTTGGGCTGTTTTGACTTTGACCCAGACCCAGCGGTTGGGTTACTACCCAGAAGGTTGCGTTAAACATTTAGCCCAACCGCTGGGTCAAAACAGCCAAATTGCTGGGTTTGTCCTTATTTTACCCAGCACTGGGTTGTATTTAACCCAGCATTTTTTAGAGTGTATGTTCAGTTGCTACCTTAAATTAAAAAAAAAAAAAGTATATATAAAGTATTACCATCTTGGTTGTACAAGTCATTTTTTTTTTGTACTTAAATTAAGTTAAACTGACTTAAAAATCAAGTTTAATTTCATATAACATAAATACATTGAAATTGTTCAACTTATTTTGATGAGTTAATGTAAAAACATAAGTTGCCATGATTTACTGCTCGTATAATTTTTTTACAGTGTATATTTCATGTTTTATTAATACGATTTGTTAAGAAATTATTTCTATTTAACATTTCTCTTGCTTAGTTTTCTCTTGCACCATCTTGGATAGATGAGCTTGACAGATTTCTCTAACTCGTCCCTTTTGAAAGAGAAATGCCATTCTTTGTACTGAACATGCACTTGTAGTGTACTTCAAATCTTAAAAGCATATTTTTAAAAATTATACTTGCAGATACTATCATTTTAATTATATAAAAGGCCACTTGAGTGTACTTAAAGAGAGTTCACTTTCATGACTGTTTCCTGACACACTTAAGTACACTATTAAAAGGGCATTTTGTAATAATGTTAAATTAAAAGTTTTACTTTATAGTACTTTTTAAATCATTGTTTTAATAATATTTTGTTGTGCTTTAAAGTACACTTATCTTCATATATGACTGACATACTAAAACACATAGAGTACTTGAATATAATTTGAACTGTAGTGTTTTTCAGTATTATGTTTGGAAGTTAATATATACACTCTTAAAAATAAAGGTGCTTCAAAAACAGCCAAGTTGCTGGGTTTGTCCCTATTTTACCCAGCACTGGGTTCTATTTAACCCAGCATTTTTTAGAGTGTAAGAATGAGATGGTTCTTTAAAGAACCTTTGACTGAATTGTTCTTTGTGGAACCAAAAAATGTTCTTCATTGCAGCTTCATTATTACAAACGTGTAATTACAAAACATTTAAATACATGACATTTAAGTTAATGTTGTTTAAGTGGAAACAACATTAAAATATAATTCAGTTTACCATTAATGATTGTCAGTAAATTCAAAAGTGCTGTACACTTTAACCATATTTCAAAAACAATACAATTAATTACAAAAGGACATATAAAAATGTGCTTAAGTCCGAGTGGGTCAAAACAAGCACTCTAAAGTTTGGATAATTGCATTTAAACTATAATTAACATGCAATAAGTGTCTTAAAACATTACATTAATTTCACATTTAAGTATATTCTTGGTTGCAGTTCGTTATCTTTTGTCATTGTCTGGCACTGTCTTCTCCACAAAGGTTACATGTGGCAAAAGAAAGCCTTTTAGACTGAAGCATAATTATGTTATAATGTCACATCAGGATCACACCTATGGTGGCTTAAAATGTTGTCTACCAAGGCGGCTCACTAGGTTTTGGAACAGAGCCCAGGAACGAGAAAGAAAGAGAGAAAATTATAGGATGTTGCGAATTTCCCAGTGAGGTGACTCTCTCTCTTTCACACTCTCTCTCTCTCTCTCTCTCTCTCTCTCTCTCTCTCTCTCTCACACACACACACACACACACACACACACACACACATTGAAACAGTAGCAGGGGGGCATGATCAATAGCCGAGAACAACCCCACATAAAGACTGCCCCCCTCTGCTCTCTTAGAAATGCTCTCAGACAAACAATACACCACAGGCACTTCATCACACACTATCAGTCAGGGAGATTTATTCCTGTCCACTAACGAGCCTGATTAAATCATACACCTTAAACTCGCTAGTTATTTTAGTTCATTAATTATATCTAATTATCTAGATATTAGATTAGATATCATGACTGTCTTTAAAAAAATAAATAAATAAACAAGAATAAACACACACTCACACATAACACACACTAATTAACTAATAACTAACTAAGTAATGTGCAGTTAAATTATATTTTCGTAAATTAACTATTCATAAGAATTAGCAAAGGAACTAAATTACCAATGAACCAACAATCTAGCTAGCTGGCTAGCTAACTAGCTAAGTAACAAACAATACATCAACCTGCTAATTAACTAACAGCAAAACTAAATATATTTTCAGATTGATTGATTGAGTGAGTGATTGGATGTTTTATTTATTTATTTATTTATGTTTACTCAGCAATTTTTTTAATATATATTTCTATCATGACAACTCTCAGAATAGTTTATCATGGTAATAAATATGACTGTGTTTGACTGTATTTGGTTTTGGCAGAATATAACTGCTATAACTGCTGCTGAGTAAACAGCTTCTGCCAATGCATCCACAGACAAACTGCTGTGAGCATGTAAGACATACCGCTGCCACACAAATAGCATATATGAAATGCTATTTATCAGACCTACTGTAAACTGTAGCAGACCTATACAGGTGGAGCTGGGGAGGTGGCCGTCAGAAATCCTCCACCTCCCCCAGCACCACCTGTACAGCTCTGCTATGGACAATGAACCATGAACCAAGATTGTGTTAAGGAACTACATTATCAGTCTATGCCAGCTAGAGTTTCATGACAGAGCTACAAATATTTTTGATTGATAAGTTTTAATTACTTATATTTCCTCATATAAACATTGGCCACTTCTTAACAATATTTTAAGTCTTATAATTATATGTAACATATTTTAGCATTTTGAAGATTTTAACAAAATATATTTTTAGTTAGATTTATTTATTTTTTTTACAATTTGCAACATATGTTTAGAAATACATTTTGTCCATTTGTGTGTGTGTGTGTGTGTGTGTGTATAGGATTATCAAACTAACTAATAAGCAAGCAAACCAATAAACACAGCAAGCATACAAATTGACAAATGATCACACGTGTTGAGTGAGCAATGAAAGGACGGCATCAATGAGCTTTCATACCAACAAACAAGCAACCATCAGCATCACATCATTGTCTGTACTTATCTCATGCGTCATTCAGACATCTGTGGTCACCCACTGTGGACAGTTAACCAACGATTGAGTAATGTTCAGTATTTCACTGGGTAATTAGCAAGTGTGAAGTAAACAGATTTGTGGCTTTGAGCTGATTCAGAATTGGCTCGAGTTGAAAAGACACTAATTCTCCTTGGACACATTCAGAAGTAGAAAACAGTGGTACATGCTAGTACAAGTGACTCTAACACACCTTAAACACACACCCTCTGTACACTTAAAAAAAGCTATTTACACAATATGATAAGCAACTGTGAAAGTGATAATACCTTTTAATGAGCACTATTTAACACACACCCACACACACACACAC